CACACACACACACACACACACACACACACACACACACACACACACACACACACACACACACACACGTATCTTTGACAGTTATTCTGTAAAATAAAAAGCTTTGGAAAAATACACATCACAGTGTTGTTTACAATACAACAGACCTCATCTTCCTGGTGAATAGCTGAGGGGCGTGCCACACACCAGCAGAGTCACCCCCCAGGTGTTCATGAAGGCACAGCTTTATTTACAGACATGCTTGTAGAGGATCTGGTGAAAGTAATTTCCTGAAGGGGGAAACAAAAATCTAACTTTGACAGTTAAACAGATATTAAATTCATAGCAGATTTTATAAAATCTTTACTTTTTTATTTAAAATTCATAATAGAGTCATTGATGGAAATATGTGACTTTATCAAATCTGGTCATAAAGTTTGGATAGGAATGCTCTAATGAAGTAAGAGAAGTTTAAAGTCCACGATCCCCATGTTTTCAAATTATATATCCAGCAAAATATGGTAGAGAAAAAATACTAGGTGWGTTTCATTTAAAGTCTTTAAAATAACGCTAACTTGTTTTTAAAATGATTTTAGTGAGTTTTCTAGCGTTACTCTGAAAAAGCTGTTCCATTCCATATTTGGTCAATGATGTCAGGAGAGTGTCAGACAACAGGTTGGGTGTGTCTCAATTCGTGGGTCGCAGCCATTGTACAGTACAGACCAAAAGTTTGGACACACCTTCTCATTCAAATAGTTTTCTTTATTTTCATGACTATTAAAATTGTAGATTCACACAGAAGGTAACAAAACTATGAATTAACACGTGGAATTATATACTTAACAAAAAAGTGTGAAACAACTGAAAACATGTCTTATATTAGGTTCTTCAAAGTAGCCACCTTTTGCTTTGATTACTGCTTCACACACTCTTGGCATTCTCTTGAGCTTCAAGAGGTAGTCACCTGAAATGGTTTTCACTTCACAGGTGTGTCCTGTCAGGTTTTAAAAAGTGGGATTTCTTGCCTCATAAACAGGGTTGGGACCATCAGTTGTGTTGTGCAGAAGGTGGATACAGTACACAGCTGATAGTCCTACTGAATAGACTGTTAGAATTTGTATAACGGCAAGAAAAAAGCA